TGTGTGTGTGTGTGTGTGTGTGTGTGTGTGTGTGTGTGTGTGTGATGAAAAACGTTAGTAGTAGTACGAAACGGTGTTATTCAGCCTTATTTTTTTGCTGTTGGAAGGCGTTTCCTGTCTCTTTGAATCCCTATTTAGTCATCTGCTAATATTTTGATGTTTTTTTTTGCAGGGATTTACGCACAAATGTATATTTTATTTGTTCTTAAATAGCTGGTCATAACAGCTCGGTAAACAGGGTTCGTTTTGTGATACTGTTTGCTTACTGTGCGTGTATTTATGACACTAAATTTCGTAATAAAAAATGTATTAATCATTTGTATATATATATATATATGGCTCAAACCCTGTCAGTTAGATGACTGTTCCAGATAAGGAACAGGTGTGATGAATGAAATATTGTGATTTACATCATTGAAAATGTTTGAAAAGGTTTAGGATGGTAAAACAAACATGCCAGTTTGTTTAAAATGTTCAGCTCTGCTAGCCATGAACTCCTCACCGGTGTTTTTAAACGTTAAAGGCCTCACCTCACTTCTCCAAAGCTCAAGAATAACGGGAAAACTGTACAGTAGTAGCTTGTCTACAATTATTGTAAATGTCTTAATGTTACCACAACAATGAATAATTGCAAATGCATCATTGGTGATTGACAGGCTGTTACAGAGCCGTTTGTTACTGTTCTGGTTCATTTAGCTTTAAGAGTGTCTCAACGCTTTTTTTGTGAATATACTGGAATATAAAAATATTTTGTGAATATACCAGAGAAAACATCCTATAGTTTCAGTTAAAGAAAACAAATCTAAAAGGCAAACCCCTTATTCAATCCAAACAAATGCTGATAATAATATTAACCTTTTTATATCAATATTAAATATGAATGTTAATGGTATTTAGGCTGCAATTCCCAAATAAATTCAAATAATTATTGTATATTAATTGTATTAATTTAGCTTTTTATTAGTATTTTTGTTTGTTAATATGTATTAATTATTTATTATTTTTACTATTTTGTATTTCTATTTGTTCTATTTTATTGTATGATTTATATAATAAATTAAATTTGGCTGATATCATCTATTTATCTATAATATTTTTCTAAACTTAAATCTATTAAGTAATATGCATGTAAATGTAGTATGTTACTTTTGATAATGATCTAAATCTTAGGATAAAATGTATCATTTATAATCATATAATGCAATTTATAATATATTGTACAGTCGCAATACTGCACAGCCCTGTGCCTTATTGCTTAATTATATAGTTCCTCTGTTTGTTCCAATTACTCTTCTGTTCCTTTTTTGCTGGGTGATTTAATCGGGACAGATTTTCTTGTATTACATCATGCCTGGCCCTGAACGAGAACTCCGACAGAGAGATAAATAACTCAGGATTTTGAACTTTAAACACCGTGTTGGACGACAGGAAGGCCTTGGCTCTTTCTCAGTAGTTTAGTGTGGATGGTGTCATGTAGTTTATGCCATGTTGTAGAAACTAATACTGTACTAATACGGTATCTGTTTATTGGCTTTAAATATGGGTGTGAGTAATACAGAAAGCATAGAGGATAAACTGTTGTTTCCAAAGCCTGTTTCTCCAGCTGTGGCCTGCAGTGTGTGTGTGAGAGAGAGAGAGAGAGAGAGCGAGTGTGTGAGTACTGTGGGTAATGCACACCCAGAATAAGTAAACTGCACCAGTTTTATCTGTGGTTGAACATTTGAGGCTCAGGCTCAGTTTAACCCTCCAAGCTGCTTGGTGGTGTTTAGTACTGATTACTACAGCTAAAGGAACATGATGTGAATTGTATTGTAAATTTGGCTTTATTTTATTTTATTTTTGTCTTACTGGGATATTTTCACTGAATTTATAAAAATAATTGATAATTTATTAGAATAGAATAAATAATTTCTATTCTCTAGTGTCAGTGACCACAGCACCATGATATGGTTTTTAATTAAAATGCATTATGATTAGTCAATATTTTTATAGTGTGTAATATATAAAGTAAATGCTGTATGAAAATTGTATATCTGTGCTATTTTAGTATTAATCAGATACTGTAATATCTTTTATTTTCTGTGTTTATTTTAATTTGAGTTAAAGTTTTAGCAACTTTGTTTTGTTTTTGTCCCTTTTCTTTTTTGAGTATGCCATAGTTTTTATGAATTTTTTCTTAAGCTTTATCTATTTTAGTACATTAAGTTAAATTAAATAAAAAAACATTGTCTGAGCAACTAGCTGAAAAAGTATGTTTGCGATTTTTATATATATTATATTATTAACTGGACTATATCTTTGCCAGGCTACACTATAATTCTTTAATCGACATCCAAAGAAGTGAATAGTAATCTTAGTTCCTTAACTGGTTAATTCTAAAATAATGACCATGAGTTTGTAATTGCTTAAAGTTTGTGTCCTCTTGGTGTTTGTGCAGTCTAATTCAATTTCAAAGACTACCCGGCACTCTTTAGTGGATTCTAAATGCATTCTCTGTTTATGTTAAGTGAGGAACTACTACATAATGCAAATGAAGGGCACACAGAGACCTTCTGTTAGCGTACGGTTTTATCCTGTGCATTTTTCAATGACTGTAATTGATGGAGAATGACGGCCACATGACTGCTGTGTGTGTGAATGTGAAGACACTTTCACCCACCATGACCCCTGATATGAACTCAAGGAGCCAACTGTTAAGTTACTGCAGTTGCTTTATTGGCTGGACACTTGTTTGAGATCATCATCACCATCGCATGCTAGTTGTGTAATAGTATGTGATTTGTTTTTTTACGTGTGAAAAAACTTTCTGCATGCTGTGTGTGAACATCAGTGGTGGTTTCAGAGTCTTTGCTTTGAGCTGCTTTAGGCTGTGAAAATGCACTCAGATGACACCTCGATAAACATGAGCTTGCTTGTTGAATCAGCAATTATGTGTGAAAAGCTAGATGGTTGATATCATTTTCAAATGACACTGCTGTAACTCTCTAAAAGTGACTGGTGCTTTAGTGCTGAATGATTGTTCGATTGTTTATTTTTTTCTTGGTTCAGCTTCTGCCTGTCTGAACATGATTAGTATCCAAAGCTAAGTTGATGTGAAATGTCAAAATGGACCATTTTTACGGTTTAATAATTTTATCACATGATATTGTGCACAGTTGTGTTTTGTATTCCAAAGGAAAGATATTTTCATAATTTCTTCTGAAATGTAATAACGTTTTCTGAAGTGACTTTTCTGATGTCAAGGCTTTGTGGGCGGGGAAAAATATATGTTACGTGTATACAATGTTACATGTATAACAAGATATAAGAAATATATATATATAAATTAAATGTTATATATGTTACATATATATATATATATATATATAAATCTGCCAATATGGTTTTGATTTATAATATCTTAAATAATTCAATATGCAAGGAAATCCAATACAGAGAAAACCATCCAGTCATTGAGTATTTTACGTTGCAGAAGTTAAAGTAGATCTTTTAATCCACAATGTACCCAGTGTAACAGGTCTGTCTTGTTGGTAGGGTTGCAGCAGCTGTGGGCCGAGCGGGCGGACTGTCCCAGGCTATCATGGATGACTGCTCCTCTCTGGGCAGAGTGAGCGGCTCCACTGAATCTGTGTCAACCGTCACCAGTGAGGAGTTTGTTCTTGTGCCGCCCACTGCTGGGGGCTCCCCCTCCAGCTCAGAGGGGAGGCCCAGGCTCAAGGTGTCTCTATCTACTGCCTACTAAGCATCCTTTACTATTTGTTTTACTGTGTCAATAAGAATGAAGTTAAAAGTAATCTAGAATATTTATCCTCTGCCATCTCCCTCTGTGTCAGATGTCGTGGAATGGGAGTGAGCAGTTGGAGCGGGCGATGGAGGAGGTGCTGGATGATGTTTGTGATGGACCAGGATCTGCAGAGGAGAAAGGAAGTCCTACAGCACTCAGTTCTCAGATCAGACCACCCAGCCTGACTTTGGACACTGCTCCTCATGGTATTTTTTGCTTGCAGTAACAAACTAACAGACAAACTAACTCTATTTTATCTCGAACTCCCATTGGTCCTTGTTAAACCATGTCTTATTGTGTCTTATATGTCTTATGTCTTATTGTCAATATTTTACAAATTAACCGAGGCAAAACTAAAGTGTACTAAGATATTTCTCTATTATTATTATTAATAATAATTTTCAGGGCTGTTTCAATACATATTGAATTTTATTTATATAGATTCATTTTTCATTTTTAGCAAGTTTTCCATTTTATACTTTTTTATATATATATATATATATATATACATTTTACAGTATACTGTATACAATATATAATAGATTACCTAATTTATTTTATTCTTTTTTTTTTTTAAACTAGCTCTATTTATCATAACTGCTTCCTGTTGCCAAGTGCTAAAATTGGGAGGGCTTTGAACACTTACTTCCTCTCTGCCTTGCACAAACTTCCTCATTTAGTCACTCTTGACAATGGACCTATACATAAAACAAAGGTTTATGAATGCAAGAGTTTATTGTTTGAGGATTTCGACACAAGAATCTAAAGAAATAGTCAGCGTAAAACACATTGTTCTACCTCTTAAATATGATTCGATGAGCCACTTAATGAGTTGCATAATATCGCAAATATAAAAACTAATTTTAGAGAAGAAAATAAACAAATACACATTTCTGCAACTTTATTCAGTATATTGACACTTCTTTGTCTGTGTCTGCAGAAGCATCAGCAGCAGTTTTGGAGAGTTCAACAGAACAGGAGGAAGACAGCGTGCAGTTCAGTCAACTGTCCTATCTTGGCTGCACCTGGGTGAAGGCCCCTCGTAACGAGACGGAGGCTCAGAAAGCCATGGCCACCCTGCGGGCAGAGAGCGCCATCCCCATCCCCATCACCCTCCATGTGCCCAACGGTCCAGACGGTTGTGTCCGGTCAGTCATCTGCCAAAAATGCAGTGGGGTCCACAAATCTGAGACCACTAATATTTTTTGGAAAAAATTAATTCTATATATATATATATATATATATATATATATATATATTCATTGCAAATTATGTTCTAACACTTTAATTTCAAATTTATTTTATTTTTTTAATTCCACAGTTTTGAATTTTGTAATTTTTTCTTTTTTTTTTTACAAAGGATCTTCTAAAAATTTCTGTTGATTTGCAGATTTAAATAATTTTTTAATAATACGTTTTATATGTTGAATCGTTTTTATATCCTGAAATCTGTGTTTAGATTTAATTTATTAATTAAAATTTTCTATTAAAATATATTATTCATTTAATATCTATGATTAATTTACTTTATATTTATATAGCATTTTTCTAGTTTCACTATTTTTGCCCATTACAAATTGTATTTTAAAACTTTTTAGATTTAAATCCTGTAATAGTGAAATGTTGTTGCCGCTCCCCAGAATTAATGTATTAATTTCATTTATTCCAGATTTATTTAGCATTTTTCTAATGTAATAATATTTTTCCCAATGCAAATTATATTCCTGAAATTAGATTTTTATTCTTAATGTTATTTTCAGATTTATATACATTTTTGAATCCCATATTTTCAGAGGGTTCTCAGACTTCTGGACTACATCAGTTACATCTCACAACCAGTCATGTATTTATTTCCATGTGTTACTCCTGGGGCTGTATAAAAGCTTAAAGACAAACCACATTCAACGTTGGGAGTATAAATGTGACTACTTTGTAGTTTCTGAGATCTTGTGATCTTCATGGTGTGTGTTTGTTTGTCAAGAGCTAACACAGCTGCCTTCCGAGCTGCTTTTATCTCATGCTTTCAGCTTCGTAAATGTGATGTTGCACTTCTGTTTTCACACCCTGTGTGCGTTTTTCTTCTTCTTCTTTCTCAGGAACTGTGGCCTCAGGTTTAACATCTCACTGTTTCTCCTTCATTAACCTCAAACCATCTCTAAAGTTAGCTAAGTGAACTTTGATGCATGTCGCAGGTGCCACTTTCATTTAGCTTAATTCTGGTGACACCAAACTAAATTTTTGCACCTTAACGCATTATTCGTTAAAGTACTACATCTAAAATATCTTCAGTACTTAATTGTACATCTAAATATCTTTAGTATTAACCTAACCACATTATGATTGCACTATTAAAACTTGACCTCTTTAGCTGACTCCAAAATAGGTTTACTTTGCTTTTTTTTTTTCTTCTTTTTTTTTTTTAAAGGGTGATGCTATTTTAAAGATCATTATTTGGTGTAACAGAATATGTTGACATGCTTTAATGTTCAAAAAACACATTATTTTTCAAATACTGTACATTATTGTTGGTCCTCGGAATTTACCCTTTATTTTATTATTATAATTTTTTTTAGAAATAGCCTTTGTGCACAGCCAGCCTTGTACTCTTCTAGGTTCAAAAAACTGTCGTCCATAAAATGCGTTGCACAAATTCGAACATCTGGGTTGTGCTGTTCTGTTGTAAATAAATCTTAACCAATGATTCCTAATTGCATCTACTTCCGGAAGGCCAAATAAAGTGCTTTTGCTTTCGCACTGAAAAGCACAGCGTCTCCCTGACATGGCTGCATCAACACTACTGCTGTTTCTGAAACCATGCCTTCTTTCTTTGCGTGCACATTTGGGTGGCATTATGCTAATATGTCCACATAGTGAGGTAGATATGTGGCGGCGTGTTAGAAGCGTTTTAGGTAGGCGTGGTTGACTCTTAACTTTTATAAAGAATATCCCTTTGGATTTGAGACTTTAGTCTTTGCAACTTTACAGATGTTCTTTATGCACCAAGAGCTTGTAACACTCCAAAGAGAACGGAAAACTTGAAATCGGATCATATGACCCCTTTTAATAAAACACCCAGTCAGAGCAAACAGCTCAAAAAGTTGATGTATATTCTAAAAGATGTCACATTATGCGAAAGAGACAGCTTTATCTGTAGTTATATTTATATTTTTATGTTTTTTTATTGCTCTAGGATTGTCGACCAGGCCACTGGAACAGAAATTGCATCTTTTCCCATCTATAAGGTGTTGTTCTGTGCCCGAGGACATGAGGGATCTGTCGAGAGTGACTGCTTTTCCTTCACCGAGAGCTACCGCAGCTCAGAGGACTTTCAAATCCACGTCTTCTCCTGCCATATCAAAGAGGCTGTGAGTTGCATTTGTTCATAAGTGTTCATAGAGTAATTTTCGAAACTCAACCTCCTTTCCTTATTTAGGTTAGTCGCATCCTCTATAGCTTCTCAACGGCCTTCAAGCGTTCGTCAAAAGCTGCCACAGACATGCAAGACTCAGTGTTGCCACTTTCCCCTGATGGCGATATCTTCACCTTCACCGTTTCTCTAGAAGTGAGAGAAGATGATGGCAAAGGAAACTTCAGGTCTGTCATTTCTCCGTTCTGAAGAAACTTCAGTTCTCCTTTTCTCGCTCTCTGAGAGTGGTGTTAGTTGAGTGAGATGAACTGTTTCAATTGGTGTCTGTTGTGGGCAACCAGAACATAAGTGTAATTGTGTCTTTCTTACTTTTTTCCCTCTCTCTTCCTCTACATCTTGTAGTCCAGTTCCCAAAGACAGAGATAAATATTACTTCAAGCTTCGTCAGGGTGTACAGAAAAAGGTGGTGGTCACCGTCCAGCAGATGACCAATAAGGAGCTTGTAATAGAGAGGTGGGTTTTGGGATGTGGGAGTTCATGTCAGAAATTCAGATATTTTGTCATTTTATAGAACCATATTTTGCCCTATAATGACTGGGCATAAAAAAAAAAAAGGTTTAACAATAGGATTTGGTTCATGTCACACTCACAAACCACAATTGACTGCATGCTATTGCTGGTCAAAAGCAGACCGTATTAGCAGACATTCTCGTTCTAGACCTAGATATATAATACTTCCTTCATTTATACATATACATTTTTAAAAAATAATTATATAATTATGTGAAAAGAAGACCAAAATGAGTCTATATATGCTTATTATATAAAATATTATAATATAATCTTTTTATAACCTTTCTTTATAGCAGTTCATGCAGAAAAGTAATATTACATGTGTGTATATATATACAAACTTAAAATGCACAACACATGTATAGTATGTATATATACAGGGCTGGAATTGCGGCGCGGGGATTGTGCATAATTCTACTAATTCCCGCAGTTTCCGTGCCTGTAATACGGGAAATTCCTGCAAATATTTCAGTGTGAAAGACGCTCGGGATAGATGACGGAATGTATCATTTGCACGTGCTGTCGAGTCTTACAATTTTAAACATTCAAGTGCTCAGTTCAGTACTTGCGTGCTCTCTGTGAGACCCCTTTCTGTGAGCTCACACCCAAAGCGCACGCACATAGGGCCGCATCTGAGAGTGCGTGTTACGCCTTATTGCACGTAAACGGACAAATACATACAAAATTATGTCAGAATGCCCGTCTTGATGAGTATTCACCTAAACAGTCTATTTATACTAAACATTGGCGGTATATAGGTTATTAAGTGATTGTAAACAGTTAGATCTGTGCATGAGGTCTTAAAGAGATAGCAACCTAAATAAACCTGCTGCTGTCTGTCATTAATGTTTATTTATACATTGAAGACTAACCAGTGTTATTTTAAAGTTAAATAGATTGAGTTTCTGTGGTATTTCTGTACTTGAATATTACGGTTATACCTACCTGAAAAACTTAATTTTAGTTGTATCTTGTTATTGTTTTTGTTTTTGTTTGTGCCATTGCTGGTCATTTATCTATTCTTATTTTAAAATGACTGTTTACTTGTCTTTTTTAGTTAAAATAATTTAAATTCAGAGTTTGAAATCAAGGTTCTTTTTAAGTATCTTCCTCAATATAAATATGAATCAACAACATTATAAATTGAAAAACACAAATACACTGGGTGACAAAACATTTAGGTTGGATGATTGCAGTTTAAAGACGGCATGAAATCAAAATGGAAAATTCGTATTTTTTAATGGAATACTGTAGTGTTTATTATGAATAATTTATCCGTGCACAGGTGCACTTCATTATTATTATTTTTTAATTAATGTGCCCTCGTAATCTTTAATCAAAAAACGTTAACCTCCCCTCCCCCTCAAAACAACTCTCTTCTGGTCACGAGGTATGGCGCAAATGCGGAGCTAGTGACATGAGGGGTAAGCGCTGGGATAAACTACAGGGGGAAAATCTGAAGCTGATGCTTCACTTTATAGAAATCAATGCGTTGACCAGTGCTGATGCAAGCCATGGGGGAGTACACTACCCTTAAAAATTGAAAGGATATTAGGATATTACCACAACATTACTCTTAGGACGTCGCAAACTATTTTTTATGAATATGACCTGATGGAGGATGCGCTCAGTCATTCAGGCAGTCTCTCTCTCTCTCTCGCACGCGCGCGCTGTTAGGCATGTTTTGTGCCATTGATCGTCCTCGTCCTCGTCCTCGTCATCCTTAATAAATAAAACATTTATTCTATCTTGGGTGTCGGTGGTGAATCCAGTGGAGAGAAATCCCCCCACAACTAATTGCAAACTGGCATTCAGATCTGCCTCCATTTTGTTAGCAACGCCCCACCTTCCAACGATCCAATCAATTCCCGAAGGACGAAATCAAGTCCCGCCCTCTCATTTCAGATGCTTAGACTAATGGCATCATTTGATGCTTTGCCTGGTATGTATATATTAGAGTTGTCAATAGATTAAATTAATCCTGATTAATCACATTATTTTTATTATATGTGTTAATGCAATTAGCCTAAAATTTGCTGCAATATTTTGCGCAAAAAAACAAAAACAAAACACAGTAAAATCAGAAAGATGTCTTATTAATGCTGTAGCAGGTGGTTTTAATGATATTATGCCATGCAAAGACTGCAAATGACTTTGCTTTTAATAAAAGCAAATTTATAGATATCTAATTGATCATTTGGATTATAAGAACGATTGCTCGTCCAGTGCCATGGCTGCTGCCGTTAGCTTTACTTACTTGCTATCATTTCTGTGCTCTCTGAGCCGAGTCTGATCAAAAATTTTAGATATAACAACAAGACGGTTCATTCATAATATTATTAAAAAAATAATCAATCATTGACGCATCACTCATGAAGGTATCCATTATCACCGTGCGTGTGCATTAACTCCGCCCACCCTGCTTCTGCTGACGTCGATCTGGGGTTTTTTTCCCCACCTTATTTCAAATTACTGACTCACACTTTTCTCATCCTAATTTTACAAGTTGAAAGTTACAAAACAACACGCACAGCGGTGACTGACTCTGATAATGGCCGGGTGTTCTCCGAGTCCGATCGACTCGGGTATTACACACAATGTTAAACAGACCCGGGACCCGAAGTAATAGATTGGGACCCGACCCGGACCCGGCTGACCATTTTAAAATATAGCCCCGAACCCGTACGGATCCTGGGTCGGGTCCCAGGTCCTCGGGTCTCGGGTCCTCCGTGTAGACCTCTAGTCTCTAGTGCTTTTCAGTGCACATCATGCTGTGATCGAATTTACAGTTGTGCTTTTTGGTTTTTTTCTCACAGAGAAATTCACACTTTTTCTGCCGTCAATTTTTTTTTCTCACATTGCTTGCAAGCCATACAAATTTACTGCTTCAACCATCTTGGGTATATATTCCACTTACACACAATGTTAAACAGACCCGGGACCCGAAGTAATAGATTGGGACCCGACCCGGACCCGGCTGACCATTTTAAAATATAGCCCCGAACCCGTACAGATCCTGGGTCGGGTCCCGGGTCCTCGGGTCTCGGGTCCTCCGTGTAGACCTCTAGTCTCTAGTGCTTTTCAGTGCACATCATGCTGTGATCGAATTTACAGTTGTGCTTTTTGGTTTTTTTCTCACAGAGAAATTCACACTTTTTCTGCCGTCAATTTTTTTTTCTCACATTGCTTGCAAGCCATACAAATTTACTGCTTCAACCATCTTGGGTATATATTCCACCGGCTTTTCTTGTCATGGGGTCAATAAGGGTTTCATTAATGGGTCATTAATGTCAATATATAGATAATATAAAACTACGTAAATATAGGCACAGCCGTGACAGCCGATGCAATCCAACGGGACTCGGGCAGAAATCATGTTCATGGATGAGCTAATGATTTATTAACTTTGTAGAATGAAGCAGGGTGAGGCTGAAAGCCGTCGAAGTGAAACGAGGCCGCTGAACGAGCGTGACACACGGCTCGAAAGCAGTGGAGTTTTTATCATGCCACAGTCGACCGCATCCGCTCCTTCCGGTCATGTGTATGTGGGGATAAAAGCAGCGCTGTTTTATCATACTAGATACATTAGAAGTTTTGTTATAATGCTACTCTGTGCAGTCGTCACCGGTCTAATAAAACGCACAACATATTAAAGCGTCTTTGGTGTTTCCATGTTTTCTACAAAACAAAACGGTCCGTGTCACTAGTTAAAATGGCTTATTTCTTTGGATTTAAACATTCTTGGAAACATTTGGGATAATGTAAGTACACAAGTCAGCAAAATATATAACACTGTTCTAGTGGTTTTTGGATATTTTAATAAAAAATCATACATACAGTATTGTGCCTTTAACAGTTTCTGTTGTTCAATTTTATTTCATTTATATTTTATATAATAAATTATTCAAAATTAATTCTTAAAAATACACTTAATATTTCATTGACAAGCTTGCCTGTAAAACTGATGACAAGAAAACATTGATTTTAAAACAAACAAGCAAAAACTAACAAAAAAATCCCTAAATGTCAGAAAGTCAGAGTTGTCCAACTTGGAACAGGAAGCAAGAAATGGCCTCTTTATTTAATGACTCAAATTACTTGAGTACCAGTTATCCTAATCATAGTGTATGTATTGTTGATTTGGTATGAGGCCAAAGTAGAAGCAGTGCATCTTGTTACTGCAGCTTTAATGTTCTGTTGTGAAATTATATGGAGTTTTCTTTGAAATTTAATTCCAGTCTGGTAGATTCAGATAACCACCTCGGTTTAAATAGCGTTTAATTCAGCGACCTGAATGAGTTTTTCATTTGAAATCTACACTTTATTAGACTCACAGTAAAACTTTTCACAGACCTCGGCGTGGTTTTGTGTCTGTTTGTAAGTCTCAGTCGAGGCCCACCACAGATCTTCTTTTATTTACCTCCCCATCTTTCTCACCGCCGTCTTTTCTGACCTGACTCTATCGTAATTGGAATCTATTTTCAGCGATTCCCTCATAAATCTGTAACTATTGCTGTCTTTGTTTCCTGTTAATTGAAATAATAAAAACCCCTTAGTGTGAAACGGACTGGTTTTCACTCATTTGTGATTGGTTTCTCTCAGCAGTCTGCTTTTGTTTCATAATTATAGGGCTCACCTGAGAGAGAATATCATGAGATCAGTTCCCAGAATGCTATTTTTACCACATTTGACTGGATATAAATAATCTAAGCTGATTTGACTCTTAGTTTCAGTGTAAACGTCATGAAACTTACATGAAATTTTTACACAGCTGCTTTTGAATGGCTTGGTTTGAGTTTGATTGTATTGTGAAATGTGGGTTTATGTTTTTACTGGTCAGTATTTTCGAGGCAGTATGTGAGTTTTGTCTTAAACTGAGTTTTTTCTCCTCCAGACAAGCAGGTATACATGACAGTGGCAGTGGACCTGGTGGTGACCGAGGTTGTAGAACCTGTTCGGTTCCTCATGGAGGCGCTAGTGCGGGTCTATCCAGCTAATGAGAGATTCTGGTATTTCAGCAGGAAGGCCTTCTCTGAAACGTTTTACCTCAAGCTCAAACAGGTACACTCTAAAGCAAACAAAATATTCAAAGATACATCTTTATTGAGTTCTGAACCATCAGCAAGTGTGTAAGTGCTTTACAGATAAATATATTTGGGTTTATTTCGTTGTTGTCGTGACAATTAAAGGTGATAATTGAATAAGTAAATAAAATTATATATACACGCACGCACACACACACACACACATATATACCTCAGATGAAGCCAGTGTTAAGAGAATTTTTAAATAAAACTATAATACAATATATTCTTATTATATCATGTAAAATAAAACCTATAGATGGATATTTAATATTTTTTGTCTTAAAAGATGAAGCGGGGGTGAACAATAATGCACCTTTTATTTCACCATTATGAAATAAATAAGAATAAGATATACATTAAGAGACTGGGTTCAAAGTTAGAAAATGTATATCTTTTGTTTCACCATTTAATTCATTTAAATTATGATCACATTTAATTGTCTTGAAAATAATGTGACCGTACCAAAAATCAAAACTCAATAGGCTTTTAAAATCTCATTTCTTATTTTTGGGTGTTGAGATATGACCTGGAAACGTTGATTGTCGTGACAATTAAAGGTGATAATTGAATAAGTAAATAAAATTATATATACACGCGCGCACACACACACACACACACACACACACACACATATATACCTCAGATGAAGCCAGTGTTAAGAGAATTTTTAAATAAAACTATAATACAATATATTCTTATTATATCATGTAAAATAAAACCTATAGATGGATATTTAATATTTTTTGTCTTAAAAGATGAAGCGGGGGTGAACAATAATGCACCTTTTATTTCACCATTATGAAATAAATAAGAATAAGATATACATTAAGAGACTGGGTTCAAAGTTAGAAAATGTATATCTTTTGTTTCACCATTTAATTCATTTAAATTATGATCACATTTAATTGTCTTGAAAATAATGTGACCGTACCAAAAATCAAAACTCAATAGGCTTTTAAAATCTAATTTCTTATTTTTGGGTGTTGAGATATGACCTGGAAACGTTGTTGACTGGCTTCATGAGATTCACCCTTTTCTTGCAATTTTAGAAACACTTAATGGAAATATAAGCTTTTTTATTATTCATTATAAACGTCATTTTACATTTGGCCCTTGAGCAAATTAAGTTATGGCGGTTTGCACATCAAGACCAAAGACAATTAGCAGTTCAATCAAGCTTAATTGGGTTAATTGCAATATTCTGGGAAAAAAAACAGAAACAAAACACAGTAAAATCAGAATGATGTCTTATTAATGCTGTAGCAGGTGGGTTTCATGATATTAATGATATTCTGCCATGCAAAGACTGTAAATGACTTTGCTTTTAATAAAAGTCCCATATGGGTTTGATTTATAGATATCTAATTAGCACTTAAAAGGTTCTTTCTCCTTAATTTCCTCCAACTACTCTTTACATGGATCCATGGAACCTGGAAACGTTGTTGACTGGCTTCATGAGATTCACCCTTTTCTTGCAAAGCCTGTGAACTGCCTATGAACAGTTATAGGCAGCGGTGTAGCGGCTGCACAGATTGGAGAACAAACCTTGAGGAAGGAAGTGAGCTTTTGTGAAGGGTGAATAGGAGCAGTAACTCCTGGAAGCTGTGAAGCGGCAAATGGAGGCTTTGTATAATTCGTAGCTTAATAAGAGGCCCGGTACTCATTATCATGCTCAAGTAATTAGAGCTTGCAGCCTGCATCTCTGCCTGATTGCCTCCGTAGTTATCTTATCGCAGAGAGAAAGAATGCCTGGGCTATAGTTAAAAGCTAATTAAAAGATAATATTATGGCGTTAGCGATAGACCCAGCCCATTCTCCACGTTATTTTATTATTTCGTATATTTGTTTACGCTGCTCATTTGGTGCAAGGAATTAGCGTGTAATTATTCTGGCTGTAAACATCATTCTTCGCCTGTAGTACAGTTCCACTTTGCAATTAAAAATGGAAATGGCGGTTTACATAAGAGCCACATGGCACGAGGGAAGCAGTGTCAATAGAAATGTTTGTAAGAGTTACTGGAAGCGGAGTGGTACAGGTGTGATCTCTGCCAACCACATCAGAGAGCTCTTTTTCTATCAACACTTGTTTTCATTTCCTCCCGTGGGTGTAATTATGTATTTGTCATTTCCCCTGAAGCGGCGGCGAAGGTGAAGTTAAATTTGAATGCTTTGCTCTAGCTGCAGACTTTGAATAGTTAATCTAAAAATAAAAATTCTGTCATTTATTCATCCTTGTGTTTTTGACCAATATGACCTTTCAGTGTTTCCCCCAAGTTTACGGCTTTTGATTTTTTTCCGTTTAAATTTTTCTGGACTCCTTGTTAATGGTTAAATTACATTTCATTAATCAAAAAACATGTTTTAGGGCCCTATGAAATGTTTTATTTTTTCCAACCTTATGTTTTATTGTTACCAAATTCTGTGTTTTAACATGTCGAATTATTTGAAAGCATAAAAACAAGTTTAATTTATTCTTACAATAGCCTAATGATTTTTCTGTGTTGTTTATTTACATTTTTTAAGGCATAAAACTGTCATTTAATTGATCTTTTAATTAATGAAAATTAAAAAATATATATATTTTTGGAAAATAAAGGGGATTTAATATTTCAATTAAAACATTGAAGAAATATTGTATGATTATTGCTGAAAAATAAGGTTTTAATCATTTTAGTAGTTGTTGTAGCCTATTACGTACATTCTACTGAACAATAGAAATATATTTCTGCCACAGTGTCTTCAGGTTAAACCAAACTTTTATTTTGACGGGTTGTTAATCTAAAAATAAAAATTCTGTCATTTATTCATCCTTGTGTTTTTGACCAATATGACCTTTCAGTGTTTCCCCCAAGTTTACGGCTTTTGATTTTTTTCCGTTTAAATTTTTCTGGACTCCTTGTTAATGGTTAAATTACATTTCATTAATCAAAAAACATGTTTTAGGGCCCTATGAAATGTTTTATTTTTTCCAACCTTATGTTTTATTGTTACCAAATTCTGTGTTTTAACATGTCGAATTATTTGAAAGCATAAAAACAAGTTTAATTTATTCTTACAATAGCCTAATGATTTTTCTGTGTTGTTTATTTACATTTTTTAAGGCATAAAACTGTCATTTAATTGATCTTTTAATTAATGAAAATTTAAAAATATATATATTTTTGGAAAATAAAGGGGATTTAATATTTCAATTAAAACATTGAAGAAATATTGTATGATTATTGCTGAAAAATAAGGTTTTAATCATTTTAGTAGTTGTTGTAGCCTATTACGTACATTCTACTGAACAATAGAAATATATTTCTGCCACAGTGTCTTCAGGTTAAACCAAACTTTTATTTTGACGGGTTCCCGTGAATACCTTTACATTCCTGTGTTTGTGATATGAGGATAGTTTTACTCAAATGAAACTGCAAAATGCTCACGAAGTGACTCGCAGAGCAGTTCTGGAGATGTTGTTCATGTATTTGTGTCCTCATTAGTGAGATGACAGACGTTAATATCACCGGAAGCATCACGCGCGCTTCAGTACAAGTAGTAAACAAAACCGCGCGTCTGTGCCATTCATTAACACAGAGACACGCAGAATTCATATTTAAATAGTCGTTTTGCAGCTTAATATTTACAAATACTAGTGGGAGTGGGAGTGTGCTCACTTGTATGTGCGCATCGGGGCAGTACTCCGCTGTGTGCGATACAGAGAGCGCGACCATATAACGTAGAGACAGAAATGACATGCCTTTGTGTAAATAAGATAAATAACATAAGGCTATTTCGTTTGTTTGATAAAAGAACAAGGTTCTACAGGAAAGGTAACTTTAAATGATGTTGTGATCTGGCGCTATAGAGAAAATAAAATAAAATAAAATTAACTTGATCTTCTAGGGGGGGGGGGACCGCCCCCCTAATATAATGGCAGAGGAAACACTACCTTTATTATATTTCTTTATTTATATAATATTTATAATTATTCTTCTCTACATATTTATTTAAATAATATTTGTTGGTGTATATAAATATTTTATAAGTATTATATATTTATTAATACATTTAAGTTAATTAATATCTAAAATAACATTCATAAAAGAAAACAATTATATTTTAATTAATATTTAAGTGTGTGTAAATATATCTATCAAATATAATATTTACATAATTATTTCTATGATTATATTTATGTAATATTTATTGTGTATATAATATTCATGAACTTATTTTTTACAAATCTACAACACATTACACATAAAATATAAATATTGAATAATTGTGTGTATATAAATGTATATGTATGTCTATGTGTGTATGTATATGTATATATATATATATATATATATATATATATATATATATATAGAGTAAAGGATATATATAATATATATATATATATATATATATATAGCGTAATGGATATAAATATTTTATACATATATGGTTTTTATTAATGAATGTTTTGTATACATTAATGTTTTAATATCTACATATTCATACATTCAAAAAATACTATTATTTAATATTAATATAATATTTGTTCATTTATATATTATATGTATAAAGTTATTTCTATAATTAATATTTATTGTGTGTATATATAATTATAATATTTATTTCTACAAATGTCATTACATTCATAAAATGTAAATATTGAATATTTATTTAAAAAGTATAATTTTATATGAATGTAAATTTTGTATTAATATAAATTTTATATTAATGTAATAAAAATATTATTTACAAATTTATTAAATTTTATATTTACTAACTTTACATTAACATATATAGTATGTAGTAGGGGTGCTCTGATTGATCGGCTACCGATTGCTATCGGCCGATAATGGCTTGGGGAAGTTTGATCGGCAGTCTTTATAAAGGCCGATCTCATAAACCGATCTCAAGCTGACAACGTGCCTGCCGTGACAGGTTTGGCATGGCATGCAGCGGCATCTCAATCTCTGTCCGGCGCGGTTAAAATAATTATAATGCTGATGGTGAGGTACATTTCATATTTCTTCAGTAAATAACTTGCAAAGTAATTTAAAAACTTTCTGTGAGACGTAATTTCACAAATCCAATTTATATATTGGATATATATATATATATATATATATATATATATATATATATATATATATATATATATATATATATATATATATATATATAATAT